AGATTAAATAGTGGACTCCAAAATTAAAATGTCATCCATCTTCTGCCAAATCCCTTGAAACAAACAAAGGGAAATTTAGGTACATTTCCCTTCTTTCCTCTAGTCTCCAGACAAAGGGTTTGCTTTTCTTTTTGCCATGTAAAGCCTGATTCAGTTAGTAACGAATAACACAATCATAAGTTGAAAGATACCTTCAAACAGCATCGGAGTAGTCTTTCAACTCTCAATGAGAATATGCACTTGAACTCTTCCAGTGCGATAGATTGGTCCCCTTCAACAACTACCGACAAACTGTTCACCAAGCTACCTGCAAAGTTGAAGTAATAACCTGTGGGAAACAGTGAAAAATTGAAAGTGGCATTTGTTTGATGTTCTCCAAAAATTAGGTTCGCCAAGTCAGTTTGACTTTTTGGAGGAAGCGTTTATTTGATGACCTGTTTTTGCAAAATAATTTTGAAAATTTCCAAACTTAAATTGTCAAATCTTTCAAAAACTCAGGAACTGCAAAAACTAGTTTTTGAGTTAAATGGAAGATTGAAAAGTAAGTGTGAAAATCTTTTAGAAAAAATTAACGCTTTCCTTTTTTATAAAAATATCCAAACCACAACAATTCTTTTCCAAAAATTTAAAAATGAGTCTGCAAACTCAAGTTACGAAAACTTCAAAAGCCACCTAAATAGAGCAGGCACCTTGCAGCTTCATATCACATACAAGTGCAAATGATCAACATTTTTATGATTTATTACCTATTTTCATTTCTTCAACCTGCTAAAAGAGTACACCCCTTTGCTTTTAACTTTGACTCCAGACCGAAAAATTTCAACCCAGACAACAGCAAGTCTGCTGTCTTCTTCTTCATGTGGTCAATAAGCATCTCATCATAAACAACTAAGTCGGCTTCAGTAAGATGTTTTCGCTTTCTCATACTTGCAAAAACTTTCTGTGCTTCTTCAATTGTTCCATGTTTGCACATGCCATAAATTACAGCGCAATATACAGCATTATCAGGAGAAAAGCCCTCTTCGAGCAATTCATCAAGAACTTTCATTACCTTCTCGGCATCATTCATTTTACAGACATGAATAATAGTGAGAATACACTTAAACTCAATAGGGCCACTCGCCACATTGCCTAGGCAGTCACGAATTAGCATCATAGCTGGATCAATCTGTCCTATTTTGCAAAGCCCTATGACAAGAGAACGATATGCAGCAACTGAGGGAATCAAAGACATCTCTTTAATTCTGTTATAGCAAATAGATGCCTCCTGTACATCTCCGACCTCTACAAAACACTGGACGGCATTGCTATAAGCTGATGAATCAGGTTCATAATCTGAACTTCTCAACTCAGAGAACAATGTGAGTGCCTTGTTCACCTCGCCATTCTGATAGAGCGCCTCCATAAGAATGTTATATATTGGAACACCGCAATAATCTTTTACTTTCAAATATTCAAAGACTTCTAAAGCAATCATAATCCTATCACCCTTCTCTACCATATATGTGAAGAATTTGGATAAATCATCACTAATGCAATGGCTTAATCGCTGCAGTTCCTCAAGCAATTTGCAAATTTCATCCATTTTCTTTGACTCTGCATAAGACACCAATATGGGCTTCACAGTGGAAAAGTCAGGACAAAGATCTTCTTGAACTGTGATTTGGAAAAGTTTATAGGCCCTATCTGTTCGTTTTGCATTGCAGAGACCTTCAATAATGGAATTATAGATTGCCAAATCAGCCCTATAGCCCGACTCTATCAGATCTTTAAGCAAATCACAAGCTAAACCAACTTTCCCATTTGCTACAAACGATTCAATCAAAGATCCATAAATCCCCCTATCTATCAAAATATTCTTTTGTTTCATTTCCTTGAACAACTCATAGCCTTTGTCAACTTGATTATTTTTACACAAACCAGCAATAAAAGTTGAATAAGCAATAACATCAGGTTCAACTGCATCCTGCTGCATCTCCTTCCAAACCTTTGAACAACCATCCAAGTTCCGCTCTGCAACCAATATCTTTACCATTGCTGTGTAAGCAAACACATCTGGTTTGCAACGATTCTCTCTCATCCGACCCAAAAGCTCAAACACTTCATCCATCCGTCCTAACTTGCACAGGCCCTTTATCAAGATCATGAAAGTCATACTTTCCTCCACCAACCCATCCTTCTTGAAATCATCATAAACTGACATAGCCATGTCCAAATGATTGGTTTTAACCAAAGCATCCATTATTCTGTTATACAGAAATACTCTTGGTTTTACCCCAAATTTTTTCATTTTCTCATAAACATAGTATACTCTAAGACCCCTGTTAGCATCACCATGCATTCTGATTAAGATCTCAAATTGTTTCTCACTAGGTGGCTTTCCTTGCATATGCATCAGCTCAGGAACCTGATCAGCTGTCCGAAATTGATTCGCCCGATTCAGACCATAAGCAAAGGCATTGTAACAAGAGAAATCATGCCTGTAACCTTTCTGTTTTCCTGTTAAGATAACATTATAAGGATAAGAAGATACACATATACAAGCACAACACTGATCATCATCAATTTGTCTATTCATTTTGCTCATTTTTTCTTGTGAACAAAACAATAACAAAATGCATAGTGACTTCATCTTTTGTATATAGACAAATTTAAGGCACAACACTCTTGCGAAAAGATCAAAACCATGACAATTGTAGTGTCTGATTGCCTCAAAATCGCACAATTGCATCTATATACTCTCCCCGTCCAGTAAAATTCCATGACAATTGTGGTGTTTGACTGCCTCAAGGTCACACTACTGCATCTATAGACTCTCCCTGTCCCTTAAAAATTAGCCTTTTCGATTTTTTGTGCCAGCTTGACCCATTTTTAGACTACAACAACAAGAAACCCAGTGAAATCCCACAAAGTGGGGTCTGGGAGGTTAAAGTGTACACAGGTCTTACCAATACCTCTCTGCCACCCACTTTTAGACAAAAAATAGCAGTACAAGTTACAACATTCCCATTTCAAAGTGAAAACATAACACATTCAACAATCTTGGATATCATATAAAATTCCCAGAGAAGGGGAAAATAATGACACAAATAACAAATTCCCAAAAAAGTAAAAAGGGTGAATTTTGAATATACCAGCCCAATAGAAGAACTTGGAGGAAATTTTGGGATCAAGATTAGGGTGTTTGAGAACCTCAGTTACAAGCTTAGGAGTGACCCTTCGTAGACTATTAAGGTCAGCCAAAAGGGGTGCACCCCAATTCCCATGTTTCCTGAATGAATCCACTATATACCTAGCAATTGGTGATAGGCGCTGAGCTAAAGAGAAGAATTCCTGAGATGGGTCTCTGGATTGTTGACCCGAAACTCCATCCGGGTCCCATTTTTGAAGCTGAAAATCACCTTGGGTAACAGAGGAAGGTGAGTTTTTGGTGGTGCGGTTTGGGTTTATGGTTTGGCGATTGGAAAAAAGGCCTCCTTGAACTGTGGGACGATGCTGAGTAGGTTTCCGGTGGCCGTAGAAGAAGTACGGTTTGCTTTGTGCGGATTTGGGCGGCATTTTTGAGTTTCTGTTCAAGTTTTTTCCTCTTCAAGAACTGAAAGCGGCTGTGCTTGTATGAACTATTTGCAGAAACTCTTTTGCACTTTGTTTTTTTTTTTTTAAAAAAAAGATCCTTAAGTAAAAATCAATAAAATTTGTTTGATTTTTTTTACAACAAAAAGACTACAATATTATTTTTTCATAAGCACATTATTTAACTCTGCTAAGAAAAAAAAAAAACTTCATTATAGTTACAAATTGATAATCTTCTTTACATTTGTGTCCTTAGTTTCTGCCAAAAAATTAGAGCTACTTTGAAGTGGGTTCCACCTTTTGAAAATGTATAACAAATGTAAAATAGCAACTAGCGACCAAATTTCCCCTTTTGGTCTCGTGTGAATTTTGATACTCAACTAAATTTAAATTTGTACGGAAAATTTTTATATTAGAAGGTAAATAGTTTTTTAATAAGACAATTCTGTATTCAAGGGAATTCAAACTCAAAATCTCTAGTTAAGGATAAAAGAGTACTTATTACTCTATCACAATTTTTTTGAAATCTCTATCAAAAATAAAAGGATACTTGTCACTCTACCACAATTTTTATCGATAAGTAGCACCAAACTACTTAGCTGTATATTTGTGTCTGGAGTCTGGAAAACACCTTTTAAAAAATAATTAAATATATGAATGAGGTACTCATTTTTATTTAAAAGACTTCAAACATGTTTTTCATAATCAAAATTATTTATTTCAAATTTGAAATATAACAGATCAAATTATAAAGCAAATTTTATATATATGATAACACTTGATTTGGACATTGATTTTTACAATACTTCGTTAAAATTTTATTATAATAAAATAACGCAATTTTTTTGAAAACGCCGTATCAAAGTATAGAATTTGAATACATTTTACTTGATCCTTTCTAGGATAGGCGTGAAAAGAAAAAAAAAAACTAACATCTTCTAATTTTTCATTTTTCATCATTAACTATTGGTCCGCACCCTTGAATCATATTCATATTAGCAATAAGATATGTATCAACTCTAACTGATTTTCAAGGGTAAGAACAAGTCTAAATGTCAACAGTGTATATCAAGGTGCTTGATGCGACCATTGATGTATAATTAAGCTCCACCAAACCCTTTTAGAACTGCATCCATGGGTGATCTCTTCCCATCTGTTCTAGCTTTGGTGGTAACTGCCATGGCCGACAGAGTCACCTGATGGTAGGTATCCCATAGAATTCATTAAGGTGCGTGCACGCAGGCCCAAACATCACAATTTTCTCCAAGAAAAAAAAAGTTCCGCCTAAGTAGTGATACCATCACCATTCAGCTTGAACTTCTTTGAAATGAGTTCAAAGAGATGCACCAGGACCATGACATCCACTCTTTGATCTGCCAACATGCATCTAAAACGACAGTTACAAGGCATACAAGTCACAGCAAGGCTAAAAGTACAAAAGCCCTCGATGCATTTTATACCTGTTGCCAATTCCCAGAGGGGAAAAGGGTGAAGTTATATAAAGATTTACAAGCTTACATCGAGATATCAAAGCCACTTACAGCAAAGGTACATGGGCTTAGCAACATGCAATTTATCATTCATCTATCATACCTACCCAACTATCCACCATCCAACAGGATATTTTCTCTTTAACCAAAAATAAATAAATGGAACAGAAATGAGCTTTTTTATGTTACAAATTTCCGCTCAATGCCATAAACATTCTCCTATTCCACTGCCTTCCAACTTGCTTACTTTTCTACCATCCCTCTGCAAGATCATGGTTGCAACTGCTCCACCATTAGACTCAGTAACACCCAATGATGTTACATAACATACAAAAAGATCCAGAAGTTGGTCAACTTTTCATTGAAAAGCCAACTTAAGGAGCTGATCAACTAGTCATACATGTTAAAAGTAACCCTCTTCTGTGTTTTTTCTTCTCTCCAATTGGTCGCAGTCCTCTGTTCATCACTTTGAAACCTTGAGCTTTTGTACCTCGGCACATGTTGTGAAGAACTTTCCCTCTTGCGCGAACCAGTATAAAAGGTTTTATCACCTCTGCTAGGTCTTCCAAAATCCACATTTCTCTCATTACTCTGCCTTGGTTGTTGCTGATAATCCCAAGACGTGACCTCAGATCCTCTCCATCTTCTGTCTTTTGAGGTTGTTCCACCACCTCGACTAAGATTCCTATTCCAACGAGAGCCATAGTCTGAATTCCGCTGCTCATGCCCCCCAGTATTCCAATAGGTTTGACCCCAGGAACCAACGCTATTATCAACCCATTCATTTCCTTTAGCACCAGAAACACATGCACCACTTTGATGCCACAAATTGCTGAAACTGTTATCAACACAAGCATATCCATTCTCATAATTCATCCCCGTGTTCCAACCCCATGACTCATTTCCACAGCCTCCCCAGGCAGTGTCCTTCAAGATGCCCTGGGTTTTAGGGGAACTCCTTTCCCACGGATTATCATCTTTGATGTTTACAGGGGTATACCATTCATTCCAAGTCTGCTTCGTATCCTCAATAGAAGCACTTTCCCAAGGATTTTCACGATTGTCACCAGGCTTTGAGCCCTGCACATTGCCACTTTCCCAAGGATTTTCACCATTAGCAGCAGTTTTAGAGCCCTGCACATTGCCACTTTCCCAAGGATTTTCACCATTAGCAGCAGTTTTAGAGCCCTGCACATTGCCACTTTCCCAAGGATTTTCACCATTAGCAGCAGTTTTAGAGCCCTGCACATTGCCACTTTCCCAAGGATTTTCACCATTAGCAGCAGTTTTAGAGCCCTGCACATTGCCACTTTCCCAAGGATTTTCACCATTAGCAGCAGTTTTAGAGCCCTGCACATTGCCACTTTCCCAAGGATTTTCACCATTAGCAGCAGTTTTAGAGCCCTGCACATTGCCACTTTCCCAAGGATTTTCACCATTAGCAGCAGTTTTAGAGCCCTGCACATTGCCACTTTCCCAAGGATTTTCACCATTAGCAGCAGTTTTAGAGCCCTGCACATTGCCACTTTCCCAAGGATTTTCACCATTAGCAGCAGTTTTAGAGCCCTGCACATTGCCACTTTCCCAAGGATTTTCACCATTAGCAGCAGTTTTAGAGCCCTGCACATTGCCACTTTCCCAAGGATTTTCACCATTAGCAGCAGTTTTAGAGCCCTGCACATTGCCACTTTCCCAAGGATTTTCACCATTAGCAGCAGTTTTAGAGCCCTGAACATTACCACTTCCCCAATGATTTTCACCATTATCAGCATTTTTATCCTCCCATACCAGGGTGCATCCAGGAACTAAGTTGTTCTCAGACTTGACAGAGTTTTTAACTTCATTAGGGTTAAAATATTCTCTGTCCAAATCTAATATCAGCTCCGGATCGATAGCTGAGTCCCAATCAACTTTATCAATGTACAAATCTGGATTGGGAGGAGGATTCTGAGGGGGAAGACCACGAATCTCCGCCCAATATCTCCTTTTTGCATCGTTGAATGCTTCTTGACCTGCAGAATCATCCCACTTAACCACATTTTCATAACAGTACATATATGTTTTTGCACTCACAACCTTGTGCCAGGGAATCCCGGCTGCTCTGCAGAAATCTATTTCCCATAATGGGACACTGTTTTGCTGGATAGCTTTAAAAGGCCAAAAAGAAGAAGTTATCAGATTCTGTAGATAATACAAGACTTGATAGCATTCAAGCAGATGTGCAGATGAAAATATTTTATGTGAAATAGACTTTTCATTTAATTTTAAAAGAAGATGAAGAAAGAAGAAGAAACTGAAGGAAATATATGAAGAGATGTATTTTATTAAAATGACAAAACTTCCACAACAATCAGAATTCCAAGCATGTCTATCAAGATCTTTTTACATATACATACACACGTGTATATGTGTGTGTATAACTTTTAAAGCACATAATCTAGACACACAAATTTCAGAGGAATATTGGAGCTGGGTCAGCTGGCTTCAACACTTCCAACTTTCTACCAACTCCACTTAAATACCAGACTTGGTTCACCAGTTAGGATTTGAGTCGTGACTTGTGCCAACCACAATCTCGAGCCCTACTGCCTTTTGCCCTGAACTAAATCTCTGAGGCAGGAATATAATTCCTTGTACAAGAGGTTAGTGTAAAAGGACAGCTATTCAATGCTTGTTATTTTCCAGGTCAAAACAATGACAAATTGAAACATGAACCAATTTCCTTAACAGAGAAGGTATACGTTGTCTCCCTATTTACAGATTCAGCTAGGTCCCCTTTCAACAATTCTCCTTTATATTATTTACAGTAACCCAGACAAGCACCTCACATGCTTCTGATTTTTAAATATCTACCTTCCTAACATAATTACGGACCGAAAAGTGAGAATGACAGACTTTGCAGCAATAACAGTCTCAAGAGATAAGAATGACAACCAAACATTTCTGGAAGACGATTCACACGCGAAAATTTAAAAAGAGAAAGGTCTTCCTCATAAGCTAATTGGTAGAACAAATTAATAATTAGACAGAGGTTCAAGTCCCAACTAAGGGGGGTGAATCATTTTAAATTCTTAGTTACAGCTTCAGGGACTCGTGAAAGACAAGCTTAATCCAATAGAATGTAAAATACTCTATCTTACAAAATATTTCAAAAGGAGGACAAAAGTTTACTATTCTATGGCATCACTATTTGATATGAACTTCTAATGCTATCAACCAATTTTAGCAGGTCTAAGTAGTCAAGGTATCTGTTCTAAGAACTTAAAAGGCACAGCAACATAGCTCTCATCGTTTTCCTAAATTCAGAACTGGGAAAATAAATGAAGTCACAGTTCTTACAGAAGCGATTCAGTATGATATGTGAAATTATAGGAAGATGATAATATGTAAATGGTCAAAAAGGGTATCAAGAATCAGAGCTCTAAGGCACTGATAACTGATAACTCCCCCACCCCCCTACACACGTAGTTCAATAACTCTACAACAACAACATAACCAGTGTAATCAACAAAATTAATTAATCAAATTTGACAGTTCTCATCATCATTAAGACTAGAAGTATATTGGTCAAAAGCGCAACGGTCACAGCTTCCAACAGATGGAATAGTTTAGGGGTCGGAAATTTTTTAAAAAAAGAACAAAGGTAACAGACAGAAATAAAAAAAAAATTTGCATATGACTATGGGGACTTAGCAATGAGAAGCACATTCTAATGGGAAATGAGTGATTAGGGGAAAGTATGGGATGTATGGAAATTGGATTTCAGGAACAACAAGTGGCTCCATTGAGTAGCCCCACTGACGCATATAAGGAGATTCTACCACCAGGTTTACATGGCAGAGAAACCAGAAAATGGTCTACTCCATAGGTATTAAGGTATAACTCTAAAAGTCTTTTCAGATTTATTTACCTATTCCTACACCAGGAGATCTCCATAAGTGAATGCAGAACTGTAGAAAAAAGAAATTGAACATGAGGAGGAATATTTTCAATCGACAGATCAATTGAATGGATCTATCATGGTCAGATATTCAGCTACTTTAACCATAACACTAGGTGCTTACAAATCTTAAATTCTTGGTATAATCTGACTTTAGTAAATGATGTCAATTCTTTTGTAGATTTCACAGATTACTAGCAGTGAAGTAACTCTGCCATATCTTGAAGTGCCTTAGTGAAGTTCTCAGAGAAATTATTAACATCACTTATTACTCAAAAGAGAAAAAGACTAGAAGTTATAAATATTAGAGAAGCTAGCACTATTTTGTTTTAAAAATCCATCAGTAAGACGAACACAATCTAAAAGAATCTTGTGATGGCCAATCTGTTACATTGTAAGAAAAAAGAATCTTGTGATGGCCAAATATCATGGAGAAAAGAAAAAACAGTCAATCAAGTGTCTCCATTGGATAAGTAACAACAACGCGTTCACGTTAACAGTAAAATATTCTATCACCAGCTAAGAAATAAAACTTAATCATACAGCCACCCATTTCCTTAAAATAACAACTTTTTTCCTTTTCCGAAACATCGTTCATTTATATTCTACCAGAGTGTATGTAAACCTTCACTCAAATAACAAAAACAAACGGAAAAAGAAAGGAAAAATGTGCATCTTGACAATATCAACTTGGCAATGGCATACCACTAATGAAGAGGACCAGCCACGTCTTTGTGTTAAAACGTGTTTGGTGCTTCATATGGGAAACAATTCCTTCCTAGTTGTTTATGATCACAAATTGATTTTAATTTTCTCGATTTCCATCTGCTCGTGGGACTTCCTCAATTTGTTCAAATGTTGTTCGCTGAGGCAGAGCTAGGTAGTAATCAGGGGGTTTGGACAAATCCCCTTCGCCGGAAAATTACGCGGTATATATAAGGTTAAATCTGCATTTTAGGTATATATATCATAAAATGAGCCCCCTCAACCCTTACCTGTAGCTTGGTTCAGCGGTGAAGGTTCAAATGTTGCAAGGGGTCACTGGTTCCATTCCCCGCGATAACATTTTTTAAAACTTTTATTTCCCTTTTCTACCTATGGTTATTACCCACGTGCCACAACTATCTTACATAGGATACAACTTCTCGTGATTTATTTAATTAAAAAAGAATAAGAAAGATAATAGCTATTTAATTCTCATTCTCTAGATTTCATTCCAAACATTAATAAAAGTAAGTCCCCTCACTTATTAATGTCTTCTTTGTTTTATGCTTAATTATGATAAAGTATTTTATTTATTTATTTATTTGAACACATCAAATTTATTTGTCATAATATATTTGAACTTATAACTTTTTTCTCTACACAATGATCCCCATAACAATAATGAAGTTTATAAAATGAAAGGAAATGAGCCATGTGGGTTACTAAGTAATTTTTTAATAGCATAAAAAATATACAGTATCCATATAGTTACACTATGATATTTATCTTTATTTTTTAAAGAAAAAAGTACTTTCTTCAATTCAAATTTAAAGGGAAAAAATGCACAAAATGTGCAGGAAAAAATGTTAAAAGGAGCATGATAGGGCGAGTTAAAATTTAGGGGTTAAGGTTAGTCATTCTCTTGGTCACCCAACCCGTTTATCATCCTACAATCCTTACGTATTTACTTTCTCATAGTTTTAACCCCTCGATGGAAATCCTGCCTCCGCCACTGGTTGTTCGGCTGGTGTACTAGACTAGAAAATAAATTCAGGATGTATAAACTAGTTATTGTTTAGTATAAAATCTATGTACTTGTCAAAAGTACTTAATGCTTCGAGTGGATGAGTTTTTAGAGTACCAGAATCTCTCTCAAGCAAATGAAAACAGAAAACCAAATATTTAGGCAGATAATATATCAAGGAAACATGACTATTTTCATCAAATAAACATTGAGACCCTGTTTGGATGGTTGTTACTTATTGTTATGATCATAATGTATCGTATCGGTATTGTACTATTTTGTTTTAATAAATACAATATTTAGATAGATTACATTGTTCTCCGTCATTACATAATATTAGACATCAACAATTTAAATGCCAGGGGGGAGAGATTCTATGAAAAGGTAGGGTAAACCTAAACGACAAAATAGCATTATTAAATAATAAGTAAGACAAAATAAGAATAACGACACAATCACACCCGATCCATCGTTACACAAACTGGGGTGGGGTTTTCGTCGTTAACTAACGATTCATTACACAAAAATGGGCCTTTTCGTCGCTAATGATGGATTTAAACATACCAACAATCAAAACAATAAAAATTAAACCAACAATCAAAACAATGTTTAAAAACTAATAAAACAGTACATACAATGGGTAGCAGCCATCCAAACAAAGTGTAAAGCTTGTTCTTTAATGGATCCTCTGCAGTCTACACATACAGAGGCAACCTCTAACTAAACTAATCATCCAAATGAAAAAAAAACTAATCAAACAAAAGAAAACCCAAAATTTTTCACCGAATTGTAGATCAAGAAAACACCATCGGCATTAATCGATACAGAAAATAATTGATAATCAACAAATAGCATGAAACAGTACCTAAAAAAGAAAAAATAAAAAGAAGACAGACGAGTACCATGATAAGGAGATTGGTTGTAATGGTACGGCTGAGAAGGGGGGAAATCTTCCTGCTTGTAGTTCTTTCTGGGTATCCATCTTCTTCTGTTCCAATTCCCCATTTTTGGAACTCAAAAAAAGCAAAAATAAGAGTTTATTTTCAGTCGGCACTCGGCAAAAGGGAAATACTCAGATTGAAGATGTTTTAGGGCTTTTTAGTACTGAGAATTTGCTTTAATTTGTGCACACAGAATACATGTTTGAAACCGATAATTAGTAAATTGATGTAATAATTGTATATATATATATATTAGTAAAAAAAATTGAACATGAAGATGATCAATGGGCCAAACCGACTTGATAGGTGATGGGCTTTGCCACTTTTATTGCAAGTTTATGCTCGGATTGTTTCTGTTTTTGGATTATTTTTTATCAGATACATCGAGATATATGTATTTTACTATCAGATATATTCTAAAATACAAATACATGGAAAGAGAGGGAGAGAGACAATAGAAATAGGAAGAAGGCAAGCGAGATAATTAATGTACATCAAGTACATGTGAATCACACTAGATACATATATCTGAAATACAATCTACATTCTGAAATACAAGTATAGAGTGAGAGAGGCGAGCAAGATAAGAGAGAGTTATTGTATTTCATATACATGTGAATCCATTTGGATATAGTGTATCTGAAACAAATTAAACCTAATTTTGACCTCATGTATTCGAGATACGTATATCTGGAGATTGAAATCTGGCACGGATGTAAATTTGGAAACTCAGGGTAAAGCACATAATTATACCCTCTACTAGTGTGATTTATGTTGTTTTCTCATTTTTATTTCTTATCTCTGCGCTTCTTATTTAATAAAAAATTTAGGTCAAATACTCTAGTTATGACCTAATTATAAATTTTTTGTCAGATAGTATTTAATTCGTAATACATAAGTTTAGAAAAGTTTTGTCTTTTTCGAAAAAAATTTTAAAAACTAAGAGATATAATCTTGTGGATTCTGAAACAAACCTTATGTTTTGTATGACATTACGCGTGTCGTGTGAATTTTACCTCGTGATTATAATTGTTTGCCTTGTAAGGTATAATTTGTATCTTGTGAGTTTTTTTATTTTTAGATGTGGATATTTTCGATCGTTTTTTTATTACTTAAAAGGGAAATTATAGTTTTAGTCGCTATATTATTGTATAATTCCAATTTTAGTCCATGTGTTATTTGACTATGCATAGATAACCTTCAATTATTTAAAGTATGCGGTGTTGGTCCTTGAAGTTAATAAAATTTAACTATTTAACTAAATGATTATTTTGAAAATATATAAAATAAAATAACGGGTTAGTAATTCTAAATGTTTGAAGAATTATGTATAAAAATTATAATTATATATATATATAATTAGACTGATTATTTTAAATATATAAATTGATCTCAATTGCTTCTTTATTTGTTTTGCTTTTTATTCATTAGCAACTCGTTCTTCCTCTCTTTTTCAACAATTATTAATGGTGGACTGGCTCCTTAGGGCTATCAATGGTGTCCTAACAACTTTCGATCTTTAAAAAATTTAACATTTTTTATTTATTACTAATATTATACCTTTCATTCATAACCAAACAATGTACAAGTATAGCATCAACAACCTAGACAAGTTGCTCCTACATACAATGGCGGAACCAGAATTTTCGTGGAGGGGGTTCAACATATAAATAGGTAAATAAAAAAATGGAGCAAAACGGATCGGGGAAGAAAAAAATTAATCCATTAAATTTAACTTGCCTTGTCATGTTGCGTTTAACGTTTCTTCCTACTTTTACCCTGCTTCATGGATTCTTTTTTTTTTTAAATGTTATTTTTTTCTTTTATTTTTTATTATTTTACTTTATTTTAATTTTTTTAAATAAATTAAAAGTGTTCATTCAACCATATGTTACTTTAAAAATTGTTTAATAGTCTTTAAAAATGTGTGGGGGGTTGAGTTACTAATATTATAATGCATATTAAAAGGATAAATAAATGGCATCGCCAATTTTTTGTTCATTTATTTAATTTATAAGATTTTTCATCGGTAAAAAAAAAGACGAATAAATCAAATAAATGTAGTTTACATCTCTCTAGAATAGAACTGAAAAAAATGTGAAAGAAATATCATGAATAATCATGCCTTTCAAATTTATTCGCTCGATTAAGTTTAGTTTAGCTTATCTTTAAAATATCTTTTCTCTATCTCAATTTCAAGTATAAGAACAATTGACAGTTTTTAAAAAAGTTCCTTTTTATTAGTATATAAAAAGAGAGTTCCGTTAAAATAAAATGAGTAATAGAGATAAAAAGAATAAAATACAAAAAATGAAAATAATGTGCCTAATAAATTCGAACAAATGAATATTGAAAAGGAGAAATAACATTAAAAAAAAATGAAAAAATAAAGCTCCAGCCCAAAAATGTTGAGCCCATCTCAACCTTGCTATTTGATTTTCCAAATGAATAAAACAAAAAAAAAATCAAGGAAAGTGTTGTTGGGCAGAATCGAATCCAAGATGTTCAGGCGAATTCTCGAACCCCCTTTACCACTGAGCTAGCCTCAGACATGTGTTGAGGAGTTCATTTTAATATATATACACATGAAAACAGAATTTGACCTTATATATACTGTTTAATTTTCCGACGAAGGGGATTCGGGTGAACCCCTAACCTCCATGTAGATCCGCCCCTGCCTACATACCAACTAGTTTCACTAAGCTATTACAAAGCAAACAAGAAACCTATGTATCGATCTTCATAAGGGATATGTTGCCAGTCTCTGTAGGCACTCCTCCCATGTTGTAATGTTTCTTTCTTTAATGTATAAGTGCAACACTATATCTCTAATCATCATTTCAGAATAGAAAGGTGGCTTTTGAAATCGAATACAATTTCTAGCTTACCATATCATATTCACAATCAAAGCAAGAACACAACTTGTCATCTCAATTGGACCATCTTTTCTTCATACAATGTGGCTCATCCACTTCACAATTCATTCTCATAATCTAATATTTATTTGTTATTATGCCCTAGCCAGTTTAGCGTACAACTCCATATACTCAAAGAACAAATGAGAGAAAGCTTTCAAGTGTTGTCCACAAAATTAAAAACAAAATCAGGAAGGACATTATATCGATCCCAAACTTCTACAATCTCTCAATTGTTGCAAATCGTCTTTGTATAGCCAATCATAGTATAAATTTATATCTAAGATGTGTTCTTGGATGTAAGGTAAGATGTTTCCAGTTAACTTTGGGATGAACAGACAGTAAAGTTATATATATCTCATGGATTGAGAACTTATCACCAAGTTGATGGTGTATTGTCCCATGGCTATTCAGCTTGTTTATCAATTGAACTCTAGATACCAACACCTTTCTCACCACCCAAGAAGTACTCTTGAGAATCTGGATTTGATGTAATAGTTATGTACCCATTGGATCCAAAGGCAATCCTTCTTTTTATTGATATCCCATAGGATTTTTAGGATGCATGGTGAGGGGAATTTTCGCATATAACCACTAAAAAATAGCTTAATTATGTTTCATAACTATAGTTTGCTAATTACGATTCGTAGCTAACATGTTAGAGGGAGGAGAGAGGCGAACGATATTGGGAGAGGGAGGAGAGAGGCGAGCGAGAGAGTGGAGGCGGATTGTATATGTATATCTGTCAAAATAATTGTATATATGTAACGGGTATACATATGTATTTGTATATTTGGCGAGCAAGATTGGAAAAGAGAGGAGAGATGCGAGCAAAATCAGAAGAGGAAGGAGAGAGGTGAGCGATCTGTCAAATAATTGTATATATGTAATTGATATTCATATATATTTGTATCTCTGGCGAGTGTGATTTGGAGAGGGAGGAGAGAGGCGAGCGAGATTGGGAGAGGGATGAGAAAGGCAAACGAGAGAGGGCAGAGAGTGGTTTGTAATAATAACACAGAGACTAAAACTAAAATTATGTAATAATACAAGAATTAAAATCGTAATTCCCCCTATTTAAAATAACAAAAGATAAAAATTAAAAACCACAAATTTAAGAGACAAAAATTTACACCCATTATTTTTTTTTAGGGATATTCGTGTGAATAGTCCCTTTTATTAGAATTTTTTAGCAATAACTTTAAAAAAAGGAAAATTATATAAAATAACAAACTATTAATTCAAATTAAATGTTATAATCATAGTTTGATTTAATTGTAACCCGTAGCAAACAGTTATCATTCACCTCTCTCCCTAGGTTTCTCGCTTGCCAGTCTCTCCCTCGCCTCTCTCACTTTTATACAAGCACAAATGTATAAAATGCGTTTGTGTTTGTATAAAGCGAGAGAAAACTGTATATACTAATACAAATACATATATTTTCGTCCTATACACTTATAACTATACAAATACAGATCTTTCCCTGTCCATTTCTCTTTTGCCTTTCTCTCTTTCTCGCTTTATACAAACACATATTATACAAATTACAATGTATAATTTGTGTTGTATAAAGCGAGAGAGAGGGATTTGATATACAAATATTTTATTTCGATTCATTTGTATACAGATTCAAATTTTATGCAGATATACAAACACATAAAATTGAATTGAGAGGCTGCCAATGATTTATACAAATGAGAGGCTGTCATCGATTTATACAAATGGCCTTCCAGCGAAATTATACAAATCTGAAGCTCCTGCCAGCGAGTTATACATTCTGATGCTCCATAGCAAACATAAAGTTTGCTATGGAGCGCAATTATACAAACTATAACTATAACATACAAATATGATTTTTATGTTTGCTATATGTGAAAGTTGCTCAATAGAGAAACTTACATGGTTAAACAAACATATACTAGTTAATTAGTCAACATAGTTATAATTTTAGTTAATTACCATTTGTGACCAATATTCAGTGATAATTACATGGGCTGGGGTTTCAAGATTGTATAATTCACACATTTCTATAATTTGGAATTTGTATAATGTAATTTTGTATAACTGTTTAAAGTTCAGATGTTTGTGTTTGTATAAATTCGTTATTTCGAGTTTATACAAAAATAACTCAATTACACAAACATACCCACGAATTATACAAACTGATCTGTAAATTATACAAACAAGGCAACTTAAACTGCAGCTGCAATCTATAAATATGCAAACTATAGATATGGAGCATAATCAAATTTATTTTAGTAGCTATTTCCGAAAATTTCCCCTTATATATCACCAATATCAACATATACTATCTTCCTTAAACATTATTAAGATACTTTTTTTTTTATAAATTCACGTGTTAATAAAAAAAAAAGTGTACATTAATTACATTATGACACTTGTTAAGCAATTTTCATTTATTGTCAAAGTCAAAATTGACAAATTTTACCAGAAAAAGAAAAGTTAACAAACAAAAAAAAAGCAGTACTTAATTTAGTGACTGAATATGATCTTAATTGCGTAAGAACAATAAAAAGAGGGAGGTGGGTACATAGAAGTAAAATGCATGAACACAAGCTTTGTGGCATTTTATTTAAAGAAGATGAATAAAATTAGGCAGAAAATTGAGAATGTCAAGAATCAAAATAATGCTAATTCAATATCATTAAATAACTTAATCATTTTTAGTCAACTGTCATATAATGTAGTTAATGTATATTTTTATTAACACATGAATTTATAAAAGATATTTTAATAATGTCTCAGGTAGATGATTTATATTGATGATAATGATACATATACATAGGCAAATATAGAATTTAAATGTTGTGGATGCTACTTTTTTTTTTTATTATGTATAAAATATATCCATCATGATTCACGAATGATAAAGACTGAATAGAAACGATGATTTGATTAGTTAATTATTAATTAATACAATTAGGACTTTTATTTATTGATAGACAAATAAATTTAATTCTAATTAGGTTTTTTCAACCATGATTTAATTATATTCTTGAATAAAATTTCAAAAAAGATGATCCTGAAAGAGCTTCCCCATTTAGAAATTTGCTTCAAAATAGCTTATTAATTATACATTGTGTTTGACTGTATTAATTTACTTTTATTGTTCTTGGATTAATTTTTTCATATTAATTATCTAATTATAGGAAAATTATTTCCAATCAAAAGGTTCAAATTTTAAGTAGATAAGAATATTTCAAAACGTTATTGATCGTCAAGTTATTTAAGTTTTTCAAAAGTCAATAAAAGATATTGATTAAATTATATACTTGTATATGATTGATTATGTATTATTAAAAAATGGTCTGTTTTGAAAGCCACCTGATAATTGAAATTAGTGTAATTACTAGGGTAATAATTACCAGCCTAGTAATTACACTAACTTGTTTGGTTGCCAGAGTGTAATTACACATGTCATGTTTGGATGCCACAGTGTAATTATACATGTTCTATTTGGATGCACAATTGCAATCATAATATTATATTAAATTTTAAAAATAAAAATTAATTATTTAAAATTTATACTACACAAATAAGAAACATTATAAATGACATTAAATTAAATATTTAAGATATATATTCTTTTTTGAAAATATATTAATTAATAAACACATTCTTTAATTAATATTATGAAAAAATAATTGATTTATATTTTTTCAAATTAATATATTTCAATTGAATTGATCATAAAAACTAAAAGTATGAAGTTTCTACGAACATCGTGAAATGCATGTTTGATAAAAAGATTAATATATAAATAAAATGTCATAAATTATTAAATATTTGACAAAAAGATAATCTATTAAGTCTAATTTAAAAATGACGTGCAATGTGAATTCAATATTACTAGAACAAATGAAACTGAAAATATAACATAAGTTATAAATTCAAAACAAAAAAATTAACATAATACTCTTATAGCAAATTTCAACATAGCCTACATAAATATGATTTTTTTTTATATAAAAAAACGTAAGTCTATAACTTTACTTAACAATAAATTGTATTTTAATTTAAAAATTAGAATACTAATAAAATTATGCTAATGAGAAAATAAGCATGTCATAAAGAAATAAATAATACGAAAAAATTGCATAGAATCACGTAAAGTAAGGTTGAGAATAAGAAGAAAATGAAATATAATAATATAAAATAAAAAATAAACTTTTAGAATAATAAAATTAAAAAAGAACTTAAAATAATAGAAGTAAAAAAAAATTAAAACAAAAAAATAAAAATAGAAATAATAAAAAAAAATTAAAAAGTAATCAGCTGATAATTACACCATGTAATTACCAGCAATTCACAGCCTCGTGAATTGTAGAGTGTAATTACCCCTGCCAATTACACCAATTACCTGCTGACCAAGTAATTACATGTCCAACTAAACATAACAGACAATGTAATTACACTCAATTATATCAAATCCAATTACCAGGATGTCCTTCCAAACAGGCCCTAAGTAAAATCAATTCAAATTATTATTGAAGAAATTGTTCATAAAGTAAACCAAATGTAAATTGAATATTAATATAATAAAATTTAAAATAGAAGAAGAAGAGAGATACTCTATTTAATTTATAATCAAAATTAAATATTTCCTTACCATAGGTTAAGACAAGAGGAAATAAGATGTAATGAAAACACATACATAGAGTCTAGCTTGGTTACACATACAACAAATGACATAATAGTAAACATAAACCAAATTGAAATATTTGACTACTAAGATAACCTATACTCTTGAGAGAATTTTTTGGGCAGATGCTTCCACTTCTCTCCCCATAATGTTACACCTAACCAAACTTGAAATTGTGTTCATCACCATTTTAGCATCTTCCCACCTATTCCCACTAGCTAAATTCTTATACAAATAGCTATCAAATGTCATCCTTTGCACATATTCATCTCCACACAACTCCACCAATGCCTCCCTTGCTGCATTATTACCATAAAACACTTTTTGCAACACATCCAAGAACTTGAATGTAGTAAAATACTTGTCATCCCATTTCCTTAAATATTCCCTTTTCAAGTCGTCTTCATTGATCATGTTCTCTCCACCCTCTGAAGCCTTCACTATTGCTTCCCCACAAATTCTTCCGCTTTTCGCCGCGAAATATATTCCTTCGCCCGAACATTTTGTTACGTATCCGGCTGCGTCCCCTACTAAAGCGACACGTCCGCGGACCCTAACCGGGCGCGGATGCTCTGGTATGGGATGAGCTTCTACTTTGATCACTTTCCCGCCTTCAATTTTTGGTTTGACTCGTGTTCTGATAGCGTGTTGAAGTGATTTGATATTGGATTTTGAGCAGACCGTCCCCGTCCCCACTGCCACGTGGTCGCATTTAGGGAATACCCAAGCATAAAAATCGGGTGACACGTCATTCCCTATGTACATCTCAGCTAAATTTTCGTAATACCCATTTTGTCCTCGGGTAATTTGATCCTCTCTTGGAAAGCAATGGCAGTAGTGTAATTTCCAGCTTTGATCGATTTAGCTACACGGCTATTGGCTCCGTCGGCGCCGATGATGACATCGACGGCGAGCTGATGCTGGCAGTTATCCATGGTGTAGTGAATGACGTACGGCTCGCGTGTGGATGTGGGGACCACGAGGTTGGTGACCAGTGCTTTGAGAAGAGTGGCGCCGCTAGATTCAGCCCGCTGCCGGAGGAATGAATCGAGCACTTCTCGCCGGAGCATTGCGATGAATTCATGGGGTTTTAGGGTTTTACCGAAATCGACGACGAGATTTGACGGAGAAACGATTCGCATCTGAATGACACGGCGATCGATGAGATTTAAAGGTATTGAGAATTCATCGAGCATGCATAGTGGAATGGCGCCGCCGCATGGCTTGGCTGTAGCTGGGCTTCGTTCAAAGAGGAAAGTTTCGATTCCGCCAGTGGCTAGAGCTTCTGCAGCTGAAGACCCAGCTGGACCGCCGCCGATTACAGCTACTCGAAGCTTGCAGACGACTGGATTTCTGGGTTTTTGTTTGAAATGATGGGTTTGGTTTTGTGGGTTTTGGATCTTGAGTGGAAATGGAAGACATCGAAGAGGGTGAAGCTGAAGGTATGTTTGGGCGGCCATTGCTGATAAAAAAGGGTTTTTTCAGAAGGTTTGAGATTTGGCAATGGTGGTAGGTAAACTATAGTGATATTATATAAACTAATTAAAAGATAAAATGCTAAACTGAACTTTTGTTTATTTTACTGTTTGGGGTTTTAACTTTAGTGAGTTTTTATTTTGATTTCTCATTCGAGGTTCGATATTCATATTAGAATCTGATTAAATTTGAATTCGCGCTGAGAAATTCCACAACGGAAGTAAAGCTCCTTAACAAAGGTAATTTTATACTCAAGAGGACTCGAACCCAAAACTTCTTGATTAAAAATGAATAAATACTTATCACTCCACCACGTAACTTTAATGAGTTTAGTAGGCGAATATGGTGGACACAAAAGGTTGGCAATCTTGTAAGGCAAAATTGTCTGACAGACCCTTATAATTGTATTAGTTTGTATTGCAAACCCTTCTATTTATTCATTTGTCAACTAAGCCCTTATACTCAGTAAAACATAATATATCAAACCTTCTGATCATTGACCAGCCTTATGTGACATTAATATGATTGAGTTGGCACAAAAGCGTGGCTACACACATTAAAAGGGCAAGTGAAGATCATACTTGCATCAAAAAAATATTGAAATTATAAAATAATTGATTTTTTAAAAGAAAAATAAAATAAAAAAAATACTTTACTTATTCTCCCCCACCACACTTCTTTTCCAGCAATCATCCTCTTTTCCCATCAACCCCACACCCCATCCATGCTCCATTTTCCTTCTTCATATTTAATGCATTGTTTTCAGCAGATCCATTCCTTTTTTTTTTTCTATTTCAATAAATTTTTTTTTTTTTTTTTTTTTACTGCAAATACCTAATAAGTTACTTCTTTGCTTCTCTCTAAATTTTCTCTTCGACATAAGAGGCTTACATGGAAAGAAAAGGAAAGGAAACAAAGAAAGATGACAATGTAGATCTTATATTTTCAATCAAGAATTTTCAGCGACAAACTAGAATTTCAACGACCCATTTTTGATTTCTTCTCAGTCCCCGCTTTCTTTCCCACAAATTGACATCGAATTTTACATTCTAATCGATCTTCAATTTGTCCAATTTATTCTCTCCTTTATCTATTGCTAGTGATTCCAGTGACTATTACAACTAGTTTCTAGGGTTTTTTGGGCATTATTTTGTTGTTAGTTGTATATTTTTGAGATTCAAGATTTTATTTTTAAGACTTTCATCCTCAATGTCCCTTTTCTTAGGTTGTTGGTTTTGTGGAGGCTGGAGGAGGAAATAAAAATAGTAATGGTGTGCGGCGGAGATGAAGATATGTGAGGGAGAAAGTATATGTGAATTTGTCGGCAAAAATGGCGACGACGGTGGCGATGACTTTCTCCGGTGGATTTTGGTCGTGAAACAGTGATAATAATGAGAATTGGATGTATGAAATTTCACTTTAAAAAATGCCAAAAATAAATTAAAATGTTATTATTTTATATTTTATTAAATAATTTGGTTAATAATTTTAAAAAATAGTTATGAAATAATTATGATATGGCATTGATATATCTGACGTAGATATGACATGTCAATTATATAAAGGAGAGTGAGCTACACATATGGTTGGAGGGGATTAAAAATTTCATTTTAATTGAGTTTAAGGGTCCAAAATCCAGATGACAAAGGAATAAGTAGAAGAATTCAGAATACAAACTGATACAAGTAAAAAGGCTCATCAGGGCTCATCAGACCATTTCGCTATCTTGTAATTTAATTACCAGATAACTTTGAAGTAGAAAGTGGAAGAAGAGTGCGTTGAAGAAAGTGCCATTTGAATTTTGATAACATTGAAGTAGGAAGTTTTAGATTTTATTTTATTTTATTTGATCTTAAAAATTTATAAATTGATTTGATTTTGATTATATTTTAAAAAGAAAGAATTATTAAAAACACCATGAATTAGGCATAAATTATTATTTTTTGTCTTGAACTATTGACTATTTAAGAATACCTTTTTACATGACTAACTAAATTTAGATACACTCTCTTAATCTTATAATATGAGTAAAACTAGATTAATATGGCCCGTGCTAGCATGGGCCCGCCCAACATGTAAGTTGGTACATATTTGAAATTTTTATTCAATAGTTCTATATTTTTTCTTTGTGGATAAAGGAGAAAAGGGTCTTGACGGAAAGAGGAGTGTACCATGAGAGAAGCAAGGTGGTTAACCTCTTTCAATTATATACAACGTGAAATTTAGCAATGTAATTGGACTTTCATGTCAATTTGAATGAATCATTTTCTTTGCTGCCCAGTAATTTCAATCCAAGTCGAAATAGAAAAAGCCACAGGCTTGATTTCAATTGAAGATATTCATTCCTTACTCAAATATATAAATTTAACACATTTTCAGACTATTATAGAAGACACTGCTAACTTGACAGACAAAGTTATAGGGAATCCAGCAAAGTGGCTGATTACCTTGCAAGATTGTCCACAACATTGGACAATCTATATTAAATCACATATTTGATCAAATTCCAGCAGGTGCTAAAGGTCCTTGTCTTATATGCTTAGCATATATTAGGATTATTAGAATGTATTCTTATTACGTAATGAAAAGGCGTACATATAGATAGACTTATTGGTTACACATGCAACAAATGGCATACTAACAAACATGACCAAGTAAAATATGCCCTTTTAACTTGTCTCATTAATTCATATTTATGCCTTCCAACTTTAGGTGTGTACAAGTAGACATTTAAATTTGTATAAAGTTGAACAAATAAATACATACGTGGCATCCTATGTGTGTTATGTCACATAAGATTCACGTGTCTACTTGCTCAATCTTATACAAGTTTAAGTGTGTACTTATACACACCAAAAGTTGAAGGACATATATAAATGTGAAATGAGACCAAATTAAATGACACATTTATGTATTATACCTAAAATATTCGCGAGAGAATCTTTTGGGCAGATCCATCCATTTCTCGCCCTAGAAAATTACACCTGACCAAACTTGAAATTGTGTTTATGGCAATTTTAGCCTCTTCCCACCTATTCCCACTAGCTAATTTCTTATAGAAGTAGCTATCAAATGTCATCCTCTGCACATATTCATCTCCACACAACTCCACCAATGCTTCCCTTGCTGCATTGCTACCATAAAACACTTTTTCCAACAAATTCAAGAACTTGAATGTAGTAAAATACTTGTCATCCCACTTTCTTAAATATTCCCTCTTTAGATCATCTTCATTGATCATGTTTTCTCCGCCTTCTGACGCCTTCACGATTGCTTCCCCACACATTCTTCCACTTTTTGCCGCGAAATATATTCCTTCGCCTGAACAGTTTGTCACGTATCCTGCTGCATCCCCTACCAGAGCAACCCGTCCACGAACCCGAATAGGACGCGGATGTTGCGGTATTGGATGAGCCTCTACTTTAATCACTTCTCCGCCTTCGATCTTTGATTTTACTCGTGCTTTGATACCACATTGAAGTGATTTGATATAAGGTTTTGAGCCTATCGTGCCTGTCCCCACTGCCACGTGGTCGCATTTGGGAAATACCCACGCGTAAAAATCGGGTGACACGTCATTCCCTATGTACATCTCAGCTAAATTTTCGTAATACCCCATTTTGTCCTCGGGTAATTTGATCCTCTCTTGGTAAGCAATGGCAGTAGTGTAATTTCCAGCATTGATCGATTTAGCTACACGGCTATTGGCTCCATCGGCGCCGATGATGACATCGACGGCGAGCTGATGCTGGCAGTTATCCATGGTGTAGTGAATGACGTACGGCTCGCGTGTGGATGTGGGGACCACGAGGTTGGTGACCAGTGCTTTGAGAAGAGTGGCGCCGCTAGATTCATCCCGCTGCCGGAGGAATTCTCGCCGGAGCATGGCGACGAACTCGTGGGGTTTAAGGGTTTTACCGAAATCAACGACGAGATTTGACGGAGAAACGATTCGCATCTGAATGACACGGCGATCGATGAGATTTAAAGGTATTGAGAATTCATCGAGCATGCATAGTGGAATGGCGCCGCCGCATGGCTTGGCTGTAGCTGGGCTGCGTTCAAAGAGGAAAGTTTCGACACAACCGGTCGCAAGAGCTTCTGCAGCTGACGTTTAGAGACAACTAGATTTCTTTTCTCTCGTTTGAAAAGATGGCATTGCTTTTGTGGGTTGGGGTTTTTGATCAGTTGAAGTGGGGGACGTTGAAGAGGGTGAAGAAGGGATATTTGGGTGGCCATTTCTAATAAAAAGGATTTTTAGGAATTAATGATTTGTAAGGTTATATACTGGATTATTTATTTATATAACAAAAAAGGTAAAGATGCTAAGGTATCAAAAAAAAAAGAAGGCATAATATATGAACATCAACTTTAACTTGATATCAATGAACTTTAATTTTGGATATGTACAAGTATACACTTAAATTTGTATAAAATTGAACAAATAGACATATTCATCATACAATTGACACCCTACATAACAATTATGTGTACTACGTGGCATCCTACATGTATTATGTCACGTACAATATGTGTGTCTACTTGTTCAATTTTATACAAGTTTAATTGTCTACTCATGCACACCAAAAATTGGAGGGCATAACTACCAACTGAATCCAAGTTAAGAGTCATGTTTATGTATTATGCCAATAAATAATGAGTATATTAGTTGTGTCTTAGTAGTATTTTGTATGGTACATTTTTTTAGTTAACATAATACATAAATATATCCTTTATTAACTTAACTTTAGTTGGCACATGTGCCCTTTAACTTTGGGTGTGCACAAAAATAGACACTTAAACTTATATAAAATTGAACAAATAGACATATGCATCCTACGTGACATAATACACATATGATTTCACGTAGGACACAAATTGACATATAGGACGTCACATATGACACATGTGTCTATTTGTTTAATTTTATACTAGTTAATGTGCCTATTTATGCCCATAAAAAGTTGGAGGACATAAGTGTCAGCTGAAACCAAGTTAAATACTCATTCCGTCCCATTTTATGTGAGGTACTTTGACTCGGCACGAAATTTAAGAAAGGAAGGGAGACTTTTAAAACTTGTAGTCTAAAATGAGTGATAGAAATTTGTGTGACTAGAAATCATTTCATTAAGGGTAAAATTGACATTTTATAGTTAAATTGTTACTTTCTATATAAATGTGTATCTTTTTTTTGAACTAATTAAAAAGAAAAGTAAGTCATATAAATTGGGACATAGGCAGTAACATATTTATATGCCTTTTTAGTTTATGTACATTTGTTATACACTCTATCTTCTATTGAGGTGTGCATTACTAATACCATGAATTTGTATTGAGGTGTGTATTATTTATACATGAAAATCCATTATGTTAATAATGCATGTAAGGTTGAAAAATGGTTGGATTGTATCGAATTTGAATGAATTGAATATATATTGAGCAAAATGGGTTGAATTACAGATCGATCTATATAAAATATGAGCAAATATAAAGTTAGTCAAATATAATTTTGATAAAATAATTCTAACCAAATTTAATCTCCTGCAGCCAAAATACATTAATATTTTCGCGCGCCCCACCTCCATCCTACTCCCACCCCACCCACAAATTTTTTTAAAAGAAAAAAAAATAGTTAATTTTTTTACACCCCTCCCAACTTCCACCCTTCCCCATCGGGCCCCTTATTCCTACCCAATCCATAATTTTTTTAAAAATAAAAAAATAAAAAAAATAATAATTAATTTTCTTTCGCCTTCCACCTGGACCCCCTACCCCACCAAATTTTTTAAAATAAAAATAATATATTTAAAAAAAAAAGTTAAATTTTTTCACATCCCCCACTTCCACCCTAGCCCCCCACCCGGACCCCCTACAACTGCCCCACCCACAATTTTTTGAAAGAAAAAATGGAGAAGGACCTAAAATACCCTTCAAGTATTTGAATTAGTACAAAATTACCCTCCATCTATCTTTCGGCCTTAAATACCCCTGCCGTCCATCTATTGGATCAAAAATACACTTGTGTCTAACGGACCATACTCATAAGATGGATGGAGGGCAATATTGTACCAAATCTTATTGTTTAAGAGTATTTTAGGCCCTTTTTCGTTCAATAATTTGAAATTACTTAATATATAAACTCACATGGTTGACTTTATTTTGAACGGAAAAGGGCCTAAAATATCCTCGAAGTATTGAAAATGGTACATAACTACCCCTCATCCACTTATTGGTTCACAAATACCCTCCCCATCCACCTTTGGGTCCAATTTTAGCCATTTCATTAACAGAGCACCATTTAAAATAATTAAATAATCCTTTTAATTATGTGGCGCTCAACAATTGGTTGCAATTTAATTATTTAATATAATTTTAAACCCACCCATTTTTAACTAAACCCACCCGCCCCAATACAAAAAGAACCCTAAAACCTTTGTTCCCAAATTTACACTCCATTTCCCCAACTTATTAAAATTAAAAAAAAAGGTTAGGCATCTACTCTCTACACCCCCCCCCCCCCACTTCTTATCTCTTTCATTTTTTTGGTATTTGGATCTTTTCCACCATTTTAAATTTTATTTTTTTCAATTTATGACAAACAAGAGAGAAAAAAGGAGGAAAATAACGATGCATTCATATAGAAATAATTAGTTCAATAAAAGATGACTTGATTAAGCAAATATGTACGAATATCACATTTTTCTTTTGTGTGTACCCAAATTTCAAAATAAAAAAATAAAAAAAATTATTTCTCTTATCCCCAGCCTCATCCCACCATATAAATAATACAAATTAAAAGAATACATAAACATGTGAGTTCAATTCAAGTTTGAGTCCCAGATATCTTAATTAAGAATAAGAGATTTAAAAAAGAGAATAAAAGAGAAAATGAACAAGACATTTGGATAATTGATAGAAAATTTTATATTAATAAAAATAATAATATTTTTTAGATGGGCAATCAGTCGGAGTGAGTATGAATTTTAGTTGGATCCTCATTTATGACTTGGGTTCCATTATAATAAGTTGGGAGTTGATTGAAAATAGGCCAATAGGAAGATATCCTGAAATTTTTCAATATTATTTTCAAGTGTATCACGTCAAAATATGAATCATATGTGGTTTTATAAATAAAATAAAAATTTAAAAATATGATTTTTATTATTTATTTGAGAAAAGTTTAAATTTAGACGAATCACATTAAGCAACTTAATAAATAAATATTTAATAATTCAACTTTAAGAAAGCTATTAAAATTAAGGGCAAATATGAGTCAAAGGATTAACATCAAAGGTATTTTTGAGCCAAAAGGTGGACGACAGGGGTTTTTTAAGGTCGAAAGGTGGATGGAGGGTAATTTTATACCAATTCAAATATTTAAGGGGCATTTTAAGCCCTTCTCCGAAAAAAAAAATTCAAAAAAAAGTTAAATATTTTTCACACACTCCCCCCTCGACCCTACCCCCTACCTGGACCCCTCTACCCCCTTTTTTTTTTTTAAAATTCAACAAATTAAAAAGAAGTTTAGTTTTCTTGTCCCTCGTCTCACCTCCACCTCCACAGTGCTTGTTTCTTTAAATAATAAATATATTTTTAGTGCAATTGGTGATTTTTATTAGAGCAACTTTCACATATAACAAAAATAAAAATCATATTGGTATGTTATAACTATATTTTGCATAATTGCGCTCCATAACAAATTTTATGTTTGTTATGGTAGCTTTTGATTTGTATAATTCGCTACAAACATTCAATTTTATACAAATTTGTTTAGTTTTGTATAAATTTATTTATACATTGTAAGTTGTATAATAAGATCTGTATTTGTATAATTATAAGTGTATATGACGAAAATATATGTATTTGTATTTGTATATACACTTTTCTCTCGCGTTATACAAACACAAACATATTTTATACCGAAATGTATAAATGACTAATTGTATACCGAAAATGGCTAATTGTATACAAAATCAGATGACAAAAAAAGGGGATGTTTGCTGCGAATTACAATTAAAATAAACTATGACTATAACATTTAATTTAAATTAATAGTTTGCTATTTCATACAATTTTCCCTTTTTATTAGGGAAAATTACATGAAAAAACTAACTTATATCAATAAATTACTTAAAATAGCTACTGTTTGCTTTATTTACCATTCGCCACTTACTTTTTGTCATAATTACGGTTGTCAGTTTTTGTATAAGCATGCCTTTATTTACCCGGCTTCACATGCTACTTGTGAGTCTCTGCATAATTTTTCTTTTACCCCTTTTCACCCAAAATTCAAAATTTCAGTCTCTCCCTCTCAATTTGTTCTCTCATATTTTCCAGGTAATTGTTTTTCCGATTTCATACTTATTTCATTGTTTTTGTTTTTGTATATTACTGTGAATTTTTTTGTTCCTTTTCAGTTTTTTGATTTTATACATTCAAAATCATGGATGAAGAAGAAACACCTTCTAAGAGAATCACTAGAGGTATACAATCGAATCAAGAGTTTTTGGATGATTTTCCATCTTTTTCTTTGGGTTTAACTCAAGATTTTCAAGAAATTTCAGGGTCCATTGCTAAATCTCAAATTAATCAACAAGAGGGTATGTCGAAGTCTGGTAATACCCCATTGAAGATGAAAGAAGTCATGCAGGTTGCAAAATCAAAAGGAAAGACCAAAAAATTGGATAAACATAAAGAAGACAAATCACTTGATGTTTTGACTTTAAAGAAGAAGCATAAAGTAAAAGAGATTGCATCTACAAGCAATAAACAAGACAAATCAGTTGATGTTTTGATTTCAAAGAAGAAGCGTAAAGGAAAAGATATTGCATCTACAAGTAATAAAGAAAATGCCCAATCTGATTCAGTTGAACAACTACATTTTGGAAGAATTGAGGTAATTTGTATAATATATAAATGTATATATATATTTGAAGTTCAGATCGAAAGTTCTATGCCTATCTGTAATTGTTTGAATATATTTGTACATGTATATACAAAATGAAATTTTATATTTAAATAGTTGTTGTCTTTATTTTGAAATTTGTGTTATACTTATTTTCAAATTGTATAATTCTTTTTGTTTCACAGTTGTATCCATATTTGTATAAC